TCGACTGGCGTCACCCATGCGCAGCGACAACACCCCGTGGGGAAGAACGCCGCCGCGGACTCATCCCTCGCCCGATGGAGGACGGTTCCGTGACAGTCCCACGAGGTGGGACCGACCTCGCGACCCACCGGCGCCGGATCAGGTGGCCCGAGGGGCGAGGCTGCCCCCGCGCGACGTGACGATGTTGGTCCCACCTCGTGAGAGCGCAACACTCACACATTCGACATGTGTGCGCAGGCGACGGTCGTGGTCTCACGAGGTGGGACCGACCTCCAAACCCCGAACAGGGCTGCTTTAGACGCGCCCATCCCGCAAGACCTAATCGCGCTGCGACGGCAATAACGAAGGAAGCAAGATGTTGGACATTCAATATCTCTTCAGCGTTCATCATCGATTTTTTCGGACAAAGGGTTACGCGACCCACAGCAGCGAACTCGTGCGTGTGGTTCAGCTCGTGCGCTTGCGGGTCAGGCATACTCCCTCTCCCGGGCCCAAGTTGCAGACATATTTCAGTGCACCTTGCCGAGAGAGCCGTCGAAGGAGAGCGCGGAAAGGAAGGCCCTTGGCTTCGATTTACACAGCAGAAGCATCATGGGCGGCGGCAAGGGCAGCGGCGGCCAGGTCCACGACATCAAGCAGCGGCTGCGCGCCATGCCGCCGCCGCCGCCGGCCGGCAAGTGCCCGTTCCACACGAACAAGGCCGCCGCCGACGCGACGTCGCAACCCTGGTGGCCCGCGGACTACGGCCACTGCGGCCCGTTCTTCATCCGCATGGCATGGCACAGCGCGGGCACCTACCGCACCTTCGACGGCCGCGGCGGCGCGAACAGCGGCAACCTGCGCTTCGCGCCGCTGAACTCGTGGCCCGACAACGGCATAGGGATTGGACGAGCGCCATCCGATCGCTGCGACACCCCCCTAGCAAACGTCGGACTCCCGGGAGGAAGGCCAAGCTTCTCGCGCGGGGGAAGCGTTTTTTTGCGACATGTTGAACCTTAATGTGCAACTGGGACAGACGTGCTCCTCTCGCGCACCTCAAAACCAGGAGGTGTCGAAGAAGTTCAAGCTCTCGCGCATCGTCTCCTCCCGCGTCCAAATATCCCCGGATTGGCTCCCGCGCGCACGCCCCTTCCCTCTCGCCGCGCGAGCTATGAACTTGGTGAAAAGTCGGTCGAAAACGACGAGCGAAAACGTGAAAACGAAAACTGGATCGAGTTCGTCGTTTCGATCTTTCACGCCCGCCCTGTTCGACCCCCGCCCCCTACCAACACACGGCCTCCCACCTCGTGGCCCGGCGGCGGCGTGGTCCGCGACCAGTCGCCGGAGCGGCACGTCGACGACGTCGCCCTCGGGTATCCAAACGCCGGAACGCGCCGGGACCCGCTCCGCTACGTCTTCGAGTCCTCGGTGCACGCCAAGCGCATGGAAGCCCGGCCTCCGACCTCGTCGCCCGCCGGCGGCGTGGTCCGCGGCGGGCACCTCGACGACGGCGAAGAGCGACTCGGCGCGGCCGGCGGCCGGCGCGCCGGGACCCGCTCCGCTACGTCTTCGAGTCCTCGGTGCACGTCAAGCGCATGGAAGCCCGGCCTCCGACCTCGTCGCCCGCCGGCGGCGTGGTCCGCGGCGGGCACCTCGACGACGGCGAAGAGCGACTCGGCGCGGCCGGCGGCCGGCGCGCCGGGACCCGCTCCGCTACGTCTTCGAGTCCTCGGTGCACGTCAAGCGCATGGAAGCCCGGCCTCCGACCTCGTCGCCCGCCGGCGGCGTGGTCCGCGGCGGGCACCTCGACGACG